AGCCCCACCCTACAAAGGTGGCAGTAAAGCAATTGCAAAGAACTACAGATAAACAGCACTAACCCCATATCTAAAAATTTTTGGGGGTTCTAAAAGCAAATCGCCAACCACCTAGATCCCCATCAATTACACAACCCAGGGCAACATGGGTTTAGAGCTGGTCACTCCTGCCTGTCCCAGCTTATGGATCACTATGACATGGTCCGGGGATGCTGTAGAGGATAAACAAAATGCAGATGTGTATTCACAGACTTTGCAAAAGATTTTGACAAGTGTGACCATGGTAATAGTACACAAAATGCGTGATAAAAAAATTTAATTAGAAAAGTTGGTAGATGGTCTACGCTTCCTGACAAGCAGAACGCAAAGAGTAACAGTAAACAGCGTAAAGTCCCAGGCAGCCACGGTAAAAAGCTCTGTTCCATAAGGCACAGTACTCCTCCCCCCCTATTCCTCTTTCCTCATATCTGACATAGAGATGTAAGCCATAGCTCTGTGTTTCCCTTTTTGGGGGATGACACCGGATTACCATGGAAGTGACCTCCATCGAAGAACACCGCGAGACTCCCAATCGGACATCACCAAATCTTCGAATGGGACACTCAAAACACATGAAGTTCAATGAGGAGAAATTTCAACTACTCAGATATGGGAAACTTGGGAAGAAATTAAAATGTATTAGGGTATACGACAAATTCTAAACCCATACAATAGAGGGGAAAAAAAAGTAACGTGAAGGACCTGGGAGTGTTAATGTCAGAGGATCTCGCCTTCAAAGTCACAACAATGTATCTACCTCATCTGCTAGGAAAAATGATAAAGATGGATAATGAGAACCTTCAAAACTAGGGATCCCAAAAGCCCGTGATGATTCTCTTCAAATCACTTTGCTCTCTAGGCTGGTTACTGCTGTACACTAACTGCCCCCTTCAAGGCTGGTGACATTGCAGACCTGGGGAGCGTAAATATAACTTTCACGGCACACATAAGTTCGATAAGGCACCAATACTACTGGGAACGGTTGAAGGTCCTTGATCTGTCTTCCCCCGAACGGGAGGCAAGAAAGATACTGATAATACACACTTGGAAGGTCCTGGAGGGATTGTATCAAAACTGCACACGAAAATCAGTCCCTAAGAAAGCAAAGACTCAACAGGAGATGCAACATTCCCGTGATGAAAAAACAGGGGGCCACTAGTACATTGAGAAACAACACAATAAGTGTCAGGGGTCCAAGACTGTTCAATTGCCTCCCAGCATACATAAGGGGGGATTACCAATAGACCCCTGGCTGTCTTCAAGAAGGCACTGGACAGGCACCTAAAGTCAGTAGCTGACCAACCGGGCTGTGGTTCGTTGTCAACTTGCATGCAGCCAGCAGTACCGCCTGGTTTGTTCAGACCCTGATCCACCATGAGGCCTGATCTCAGACCGGGCTGTGGGGGTGTTGAACCCCGAAACCCTCTCCAGGTAATTTCCAGGTAAACGGTGACCCCTGGAGTCATACAGGCACTCCTCGAGGATGGAGAAATGGTAAGACTGGTGGAATAACTTCCACCTCACCTTCAGATGAGTGAAACATACCTGCCAGTGCTGGAAATTTGGAACTAACCAGAAGACACATTCTCACACAGAATACAGTATTTCTAGGTTTATAACTATAATAGTTTACTGGTAAACTTGCACATACACGGTCTAACTTGCAATTTATCATCCTTCTCGCAAGGTGTTTTGAGCACTAATCAATGAAGCCTTTAAAATGAGGCTAGTCAAGATATTTCACATAAGTATAATGAAACACATTTTAAAAAATAAAATTAGTAGGTAGCACCTACATACTTCAGGAACAATCCTATCTTTTTTGTATGTATGATACACCAGTGTTGAAAACTTGAAGCCAATCAGAAGAGACTTTCTCAAGTTATTCGACAGACACCAAAGAAGGAATGGTTTATATACACTTGTTTATATACACCTGCACAAGCCAACTACATGAACCCTTACCTATTTTTAGTATATCATATTGAAAATTTCAAGTCAATCGGATGAAGCATTCTTAAGTTATAAACAAAAATCTTGGAGGCAGGAATATCCAGCAACCACTATCAAGCACCTCACTGGGATGTTATAAACAAAAATCTTGGAGGCAGGAAATATCCAGCAACCACTATCAAGCACCTCACTGGGATGTTATAAACAAAAATCTTGGAGGCAGGAAATATCCAGCAACCATTATCAAGCACCTCACTGGGATGTTATAAACAAAAATCTTGGAGGCAGGAAATATCCAGCAACCATTATCAAGCACCTCACTGGGATGTTATAAACAAAAATCTTGGATGCAGGAAATATCCAGCAACCACTATCAGCACCTCTCACTGGGATGTTATAAACAAAAATCTTGGAGGCAGGAAATATCCAGCAACCACTATAAAGCACCTCACTGGGATGTTATAAACAAAAATCTTGGAGGCAGGAAATATCCAGCAACCACTATCAAGCACCTCACTGGGATGTTATAAACAAAATCTTGGAGGCAGGAAATATCCAGCAACCACTATCAAGCACCTCACTGGGATGCTTAAATTATGTTGTTGGACAACTATTTTATTTTTTACAGTTTATTAGTACAGTATAATTTTATTAATGGAATATTGTTACATACGTTACGTGTGGGAGGCTGGTGTGCTAAAACCCACGAGGAGTTTAAGGAAGCTTGAAATTTATGAATAAGAGCTGTTTGCTTGTCAGTGGAGAACTTTGTTAAGAGAGAAGAGAGTCTGGTGAGTTGTTGCTCTGCTTCAGTTTCACTTATCACATCACTAGCAAGTATATTCTCTCTCACATGATGCTGTAGTCTACTCTCTTCATGTATGTTCCTAATTATCAAACCTATAAACAGAACCAAGTAATTGTGATTAACATTGTGTAAGACATTTATTAAAACAAAAATAATTTATTATTTATTATCACACTGGCCGATTCCCACCAAGGCAGGGTGGCCCGAAAAAGAAAAACTTTCACCATCATTCACTCCATCACTGTCTTGCCAGAAGGGTGCTTTACACTACAGTTAAACTGCAACATTAACACCCCTCCTTCAGAGTGCAGGCACTGTACTTCCCATCTCCAGGACTCAAGTCCGGCCTGCCGGTTTCCCTGAACCCCTTCATAAATGTTACTTTGCTCACACTCCAACAGCACGTCAAGTATTAAAAACCATTTGTCTCCATTCACTCCTATCAAACACGCTCACGCATGCCTGCTGGAAGTCCAAGCCCCTCGCACACAAAACCTCCTTTACCCCCTCCCTCCAACCTTTCCTAGGCCGACCCCTACCCCGCCTTCCTTCCACTACAGACTGATACACTCTTGAAGTTATTCTGTTTCGCTCCATTCTCTCCACATGTCCGAACCACCTCAAACAACCCCTCCTCAGCCCTCTGGACAACAGTTTTGGTTAATCCCGCACTCCTCCTAACTTCCAAACTACGAATTCTCTGCATATATTCACACCACACATTGCCCTCAGACATGACATCTCCACTGCCTCCAGCCTTCCTCCTCGCTGCAACATTCATCACCCATGCTTCACACCCATATAAGAGCGTTGGTAAAACTATACTCTCATACATTCCCCTCTTTGCCTCCAAGGACAAAGTTCTTTGTCTCCACAGACTCCTAAGTGCACCACTCATCTTTTTCCCTCATCAATTCTATGATTCACCTCATCTTTCATAGACCCATCCACTGACACGTCCACTCCCAAATATCTGAATACATTCACCTCCTCCATACTCTCTCCCTCCAATCTGATATTCAATCTTTCATCACCTAATCTTTTTGTTATCCTCATAACCTTACTCTTTCCTGTATTCACCTTTAATTTTCTTCTTTTGCACACCCTACCAAATTCATCCACCAACCTCTGCAACTTCTCTTCAGAATCTCCCAAGAGCACAGTGTCATCAGCAAAAAGCAGCTGTGACAACTCCCACTTTGTGTGTGATTCTTTATCATTTAACTCCACGCCTCTTGTCAAGACCCTCGCATTTACTTCTCTTACAACCCCATCTATAAATATATTGAACAACCACGGTGACATCACACATCCTTGTCTAAGGCCTACTTTTACTGGGAAATAATTTCCCTCTTTCCTACATACTCTAACTTGAGCCTCACTATCCTCGTAAAAACTCTTCACTGCTTTCAGTAACCTACCTCCTACACCATACACTTGCAACATCTGCCACATTGCCCCCTATCCACCCTGTATACGCCTTTTCCAAATCCATAAATGCCACAAAGACCTCTTTAGCCTTATCTAAATACTGTTCACTTATATGTTTCACTGTAAACACCTGGTCCACACACCCCCTACCTTTCCTAAAGCCTCCTTGTTCATCTGCTATCCTATCTCCGTCTTACTCTTAATTCTTTCAATAATAATTCTACCATACACTTTACCAGGTATACTCAGCAGACTTATCCCCCTATAATTTTTGCACTCTCTTTTATCCCCTTTGCCTTTATACAAAGGAACTATGCATGCTCTCTGCCAATCCCTAGGTACCTTACCCTCTTCCATACATTTATTAAATAATTGCACCAACCACTCCAAAACTATATCCCCACCTGCTTTTAACATTTCTATCTTTATCCCATCAATCCCGGCTGCCTTACCCCTTTCATTTTACCTACTGCCTCACGAACTTCCCCCACACACAACTGGCTCTTCCTCACTCATACAAGATGTTATTCCTCCTTGTCCTATACACGAAATCACAGCTTCCCTATCTTCATCAACATTTAACAATTCCTCAAAATATTCCCTCCATCTTCCCAATACCTCTAACTCTCCATTTAATAACTCTCCTCTCCTATTTTTAACTGACAAATCCATTTGTTCTCTAGGCTTTCTTAATTGTTAATCTCACTCCAAAACTTTTTCTTATTTTCAACAAATTTGTTGATAACATCTCACCCACTCTCTCATTTGCTCTCTTTTTACATTTGCTTCACCACTCTCTTAACCTCTCTCTTTTTCTCCATATACTCTTCCCTCCTTGCATCACTTCTACTTTGTAAAAACTTCTCATATGCTAACTTTTTCTCCCTTACTACTCTCTTTACATCATCATTCCACCAATCGCTCCTCTTCCCTCCCGCACCCACTTTCCTGTAACCACAAACTTCTGCTGAACACTCTAACACTACATTTTTAAACCTACCCCAAAAATAATGTTATATAATAATTTCTATTTTCATTATTTTCAGATCAGAGATTAAATAAGTTAGACCTTTCATAATACAGTTTATATTTCTCACTTCTGTTGCAGTGTCAAACAATGCAAAATTTTACATGAAAACAGTTTCATATATGCATCATTCATATTTCTAATTACACATGTGTAGTTACACATTTGCATGAGTTCACACATGCACAGGTTTTTCAAGTGCATAGTTTCACATGTACACATTTTCACATACGTACAGATTCATGTGAACAAAGTTGTACATTTGAGTAAATTTACACAAACACGACTTATTTTTAAGAACCGATGTCTCAAGACTTTAGTACCTTGAATAACCTTATTAACAAGTATGTCGTCCAGGTAAGTGTCGTCCAGGTAAGTGTCGTCCAGGTGAGTGTAGTCTAGGTCAGTGTCGTCCAAGCGAGTGTCGTCCAGGTGAGTGTAGTCTAAAGGAGTGTCGTCCAAGTGAGTGTCGTCCAGGTGAGTGTAGTCTAGGTGAGTGTCGTCCAAGTGAGTGTCGTCCAGGTGAGTGTAGTCTAAAGGAGTGTCGTCCAAGTGAGTGTCGTCCAGGTGAGTGTCGTCCAAGCGAGTGTCGTCCAGGTGACTGTAGTCTAGGTGAGTGTCGTCAAAATGAGTGCCATCCAGGTGAGTGTACTCTAGGTGAGTGTCGTCAAAGTGAGTGTCATTCAGGTGAGTGTAGTCTAGGTGAGTGTCGTCCAAGTGAGTGCCATCCAGGTGAGTGTCGTCCAAGTGAGTGTTGTCCATGTGAGTGTCGTCCAAGTGAGTGTCGTCCAGATGAGCGTAGTCTAGGTGAGTGTCATCCAAGTGAGTGTCGTCCAGGTGAGTGTAGTCTAGGTGAGCGTCGTCTGAGTGTCGTCCAGGTGAGTGCAGTCTAGGTGAGTGTCGTCCAGGAGAGTGGCTTCCAGATGAGTGACCTCCAGGTGAGAGTGTCGTCCAGGTGAGTGTTGTCCAGGTGAGTGTCATCCAGGTGAATGTTGTCCAGGTGAGCGTGTCGTCCAGGTGTGTCGTCCAGGTGAGTGTCATCCAGGTGAGTGTCTTCCAGATGAGTGTCGTCCAGGTGACAGTGTCGTCCAGGTGAGTGTCGTCCAGGTGAGTGTCGTCCAAGTGAGTGTCTTCCAGATGAGTGTCATCATGGTGAGTGTTGTCCAGGTGAGTGTCGTCCAGGTGAGTGTCGTCCAGGTGAGTGTCGTCCAGGTGAGTGTGTCGTCCAGGTGAGTGTGTCGCCCAGGGAGTGTCATCCAGGTGAGTGTCGTCCAGGTGAATGTCGTCCAGGTGAGTGTCGTCCAGGTGAGTGTTGTCCAAGTGATTGTCCCAGGTGAGTGTCGTCCAGGTGAGTGTCGTCCAGTAAGTGTCATCCAGGTGAGTGTCGTCCAGGTGAGTGTCGTCCAGGAGAGTGGCTTCCAGATGAGCGACCTACAGGTGAGTGTGTCGTCCAGGTGAGTGTTGTCCAGGTGAGTGTCATCCAGGTGAATGTTGTCCAGGTGAGCGTGTCGTCCAGGTGAGTGTGTCGTCCAGGTGAGTGTGCCGTCCAGGTGAGTGTCATCCAGGTGAGTGTCGTCCAGGGGAGTGTCATCAAGGTGAGTGTCGTTCAGGTGAATGTCGTCCATGTGAGTACCGTCCAGGTGAGTGTCGTCCAGGTGAGTGTCGTGCAGGTGACGTCGTCCAGTGTCATCCTGGTGAGTGTTGTCCAAGTGAGAGTGTCGTCCAGGTGAGATTGTCGTGCAGGTGAGTGTCGTCCCGATGAGTGTTGTCCAGGTGAGACTGTCGTGCAGGTGAGAGTCGTCCAGGTGAGTGTCGTCCAGGTGAGTGTCTTCCAGATGAGTGTCGTGCAGGTGACAGTGTCGTCCAGCTGAGTGTCGTCCAGGAGATCGTGTCGTCCAGGTGAGTGTCGTCCAGGTGAGTGTCGTCCAGGTGAGTGTCACCCAGGTGAGTGTCGTCCAGATGAGTGTCGTCCAGGTGAATGTCGTCCAGGTGAGTGTCGTCCAGGTGAGTGTTGTCCAAGTGAGTGTCGTCCAGATGATTGTCGTCCAGTGAGTGTCGTCCAGGTGAATGTGCCATCCAGGTGTGTGTCGTCCAGGGGAGTGTCATCCAGGTGAGTGTCGTTCAGGTGAATGTCGTCCAGATGATTGTCGTCCAGGTGAGAGTGTCGTCCAGGCGAGTGTTGTCTAGGTGAGTGTCGTGTAGGTGAGTGTTGTCCAATTGAGAGTGCCGTCCAGGTGAGATTGTCGTCCAAGTGAGTGTCGTCCAGGTGAGTGTTGTCCAAGTGAGTGTCGTCCAGGTGAGTGTCGTCCAGACTAGTGTTGTCCAGGTGAGAGTGTCGTCCAGGCGAGTGTCGTCCAGGGGAGTGTCTTCCAGGTGAGTGTCGTCCAGGCGAGTGTCGTCCAGGGGAGTGTCTTCCAGATGAGTGTCGTCCAGGTGAATGTCGTCCAGGGGAGTGTCTTCCAGGTGAGTGTCGTCCAGGTGAGTGTCGTCCAGGGGAGTGTCATCCAGGTGAGTGTCATTCAGGTGAATGTCATCCAGGTGAGTGTCGTCCAGAAGAGTGTCGTCCAGGTGAGTGTGTTGTCCAGGTGAGTGTGTCGTCCAGGTGAGTGTGTTGTTCAGGTGAGTGTCGTCCAGGTGAGTGTGTTGTCCAGGTGAGTGTCGTCCAGGTGAGTGTCGTCCAGGTGAATGTGTCGTCCAGGTGAGTGTCATCAAGTGAGAGTCGTGCAGGTGAGTGTCGTCCAGGTGAGTGTCGTCCAGGTGAGTGTCGTCCAGGTGAGTGTCGTCCAGGCGAGTGTTGTCTAGGTGAGTGTCGTGTAGGTGAGTGTCGTCCAGTGTCATCTAGGTGAGTGTTGTCCAATTGAGTGTGTCGTCCAGGTGAGATTGTCGTCCAAGTGAGTGTCGTCCAGGTGTGTGTAGTCCAGGTGAGAGTGCTGTGCAGGTAAGTGTCGTCCAGATGAGTGTCGTCCAGGTGAGTGTCATCCAGGTGAGAGTGTCATGCAGGTGAGTGTCGTCCAGGAGAGTGTCGTCCAGTGAGTGTCATCCAGGTGAGAGTGTCGTCCAGGTGAGTGTCGTCCAGGTGAGTGTCGTCCAGATGAGTGTTGTCCAGGTGAGACTGTCGTGCAGGTGAGAGTCGTCGAGGTGAGTGTCGTCCAGGTGAGTGTCGTCCAGGAGAGTGTCGTCCTGGTGAGTGTTGTCCAAGTGAGAGTGTCGTCCAGGTGAGATTGTCGTCCAGGTGAGTGTTGTCCAGGTGAGACTGTCGTGCAGGTGAGAGTCGTCGAGGTGAGTGTCGTCCAGGTGAGTGTCGTCCAGGTGAGTGCCGTCCAGGTGAGTGTCGTCCAGGTGAGTGTCTTCCAGATGAGTGTCATCCAGGTGAGAGTATCGTCCAGGTGAGTGTCGTCCAGGTGAGTGTCGTCCAGGTGAGTGTCGTCTAGGTGAGTGTGTCGTCCAGGTGAGTGTGTCACCCAGATGAGCGTCATTCAGGTGAGTGTCGTCCAGGTGAATGTCGTCCAGGTAAGTGTCGTCCAGGTAAGTGTCGTCCAGGTGAGTGTCGTCCAGGTGAGTGTCGTCCAGGAGAGTGGCTTCCAGATGAGTGACCTCCAGGTGGGAGTGTCGTCCAGGTGAGTGTTGTCCAGGTGAGTGTCATCCAGGTGAATGTTGTCCTGGTGAACGTTGTCCAGGTGAGCGTGTCGACCAGGTGAGTGTGTCGTCCAGGTGAGTGTCATCCAGGTGAGTGTCTTCCAGATGAGTGTCGTCCAGGTGAGTGTCGTCCAGGTGAGTGTCGTCCAGGTGAGTGTCGTCCAGGTGAGTGTCGTCCAAGTGAGTGTCTTCCAGATGAGTGTCATCCAGGTGAGAGTGTCGTCCAGGTGAGTGTCGTCCAGGTGGGTGTCGTCCAGGGGAGTGTCGTCCATGTGAGTGTGTCATCCAGGTGAGTGTGTCGTCCAGGTGAGTGTGTCGCCCAGATGAGTGTCATCCAGGTGAGCGTCGTCCAGGTGAATGGCGTCCAGGTGAGTGTTGTCCAGTGAGTGTCGTCCAGGTGAGTGTCGTCCAGGTGAGTGTTGTCCAAGTGAGTGTCATCCAGGTGAATATTGTCCAGGTGAGCGTGTCGTCCAGGTGAATGTGTCGTCCAGGTGAGTGTGCCGCCAAGGTCAGTGTCGTCCAGGTGAGTGTCGTCCAGGGGAGTGTCATCAAGGTGAGTGTCGTTCAGGTGAATGTCGTCCATGTGAGTGCCGTCCAGGTGAGTGTCGTCCAGGTGAGAGTCGTCCAGGTGAGTGTCGCCCAGGTGAGTGTCGTCCAGGTGAGTGTCGTCCAGGTGAATGTCGTCCAGGTGAGTGTCGTCCAGGTGAGTGTCGTCCAGTGTCATCCTGGTGAGTGTTGTCCAACTGAGAGTGTCGCCCGGGGGAGTTTGGGTCGCCCAGGTGGTGTGCCCGAGAGTTTTTGCCCAGGTGGGGACTGTCGTGCAGGTGAGGTCGTCCGGTGAGTGTCGTCCATGGTGTCTTCCAGATAGTGTCGTCCAGGTGACAGTGTCGTCCAGGGAGTGCGTCCAGGGGGTGTTTTCCGATGAGTGTCGTCCAGGTGGTGACGCCCGGTGGTTCGTCCAGGTGAGTGTCGTCCAGGTGGTGCGTCCAGGTGAGTGTCGTCCGGTGATGTGTAAGGTGAGTGTCCCCAGGGATGTCGCCCGGGGTTTCGCCAGGTGAGTGTTTCCGGGGGAAAGGTATCCAGGGAGTGTCTACAGTGAGTGTGTCCTGGGGTTTTTCCCAGGTGATTGTCTCCGGGTGAGTGTCGTCCGGGGAGTCCCTTTCCCCGATGAGTGTCCTCCAGGTGAGAGTGCGTCCAGGGAGTTTTTGTCCAGGTAGTGTGCCCCGGTGAATGTCCCAGGTGTGTGTCCAGGTGGTGTGTGTCCGGTAAAATGTGCCATCCAGGGAGTGTCGCCCCAAGGGGTGTCATCCGGTGAGTGTGTTCGGGTAAAGGGCCCAGGTGATGTCGCCCCGGTGTGTCGTCCAGGTGAGTGTCGTGCAGTTGGTGTCGTCCAGAAGTGTGTCGTTAGGTGGTGGTCGGTGAGTGCGTCCAGGCGAGTGGTTGTCCAGGTGAGTGTCGTCCAGGTGGGGTGTTGTTTCAGGTGATGTGCCGGGTGATGTGTCACCCGGTCGTGTCACCCAAAAGTAAGTGTCGTCCAGGTGAGTGTGTCGTCCAGGTGAGTGTGTTATTCAGGTGAGTGTTGTCCAGGTGAGTGTCATCCAGGACAGTGTCGTCAAGGTGAGATTGTCGTCCAGGTGAGTGTCGTCCAGGTGAGTGTCGTAAAGGTGAGTGTTGTCCAGATGATTGTCGTCTACTTGAGAGTGTCGTCCAGGCGAGTGTTGTTTAGGTGAGTGTCGTGCAGGTGAGTGTCGTCCACTTGAGTGTCGTCCAGTGTCATCTAGGTGAGTGTTGTCCAATTGAGAGTGTCGTCCAGGTGAGATTGTCGTCCAAGTGAGTGTTGTCCAGGTGAGTGTAGTCTAAGTGAGCGTCCTCCTAGTGTCGTCCAGGTGTGTGTAGTCCAGGTGAGAGTGCCGTGCAGGTGAGTGTCGTCCAGATGAGTGTCGTCCAGGTGAGAGTGTCATGCAGGTGAGTGTCGTCCAGGAGAGTGTTGTCAAGTGAGTGTCATCCAGGTGAGATTGTCATGCAGGTGAGTGTCGTCCAGTGAGTGTCGTCCTGGTGAGTGTTGTCCAAGTGAGAGTGTCGTCCAGGTGAGATTGTCGTCCAGGTGAGTGTTGTCCCAATGAGTGTCGTCCAGGTGAGACTGTCGTGCAGGTGAGTGTCATCCAGGTGAGTGTCGTCCAGGTGAGTGTCTTCCAGATGAGTGTCGTCCAGGTGAGTGTCTTCCAGATGAGTGTCGTCCAGGTGACAGTGTCGTCCAGGTGAGTGTCATCCAGGTGAGTGTCTTCCAGATGAGTGTCGTCCAGGTGAGTGTCGTCCAGGTGAGTATCGTCCAGGTCAGTGTCGTACAGGTGAGTGTCGTCCAGGTGAGTGTGTGGTCCAGGTGAGTGTGTCGCCCAGGTGAGTGTCGTCCAGATGAGTGTCGTCCAGGTGAATGTCGTCCAGGTGAGTGTCGTCCAGGCGAGTGTTGTCCAAGTGAGTGTCGTACAGATGAGTGTCGTCCAGGTGAGTGTCGTCCAGTGAGTGTCGTCCAGGTGAGTGTCGTCCAGGTGAGTGTCGTCCAGGAGAGTGGCTTCCAGATGAGTGTCCTCCAGGTGAGAGTGTCGTCCAGGTGAGTGTTGTCCAGGTGAGTGTCGTCCTGGTGAATGTCGTCCAGGTGAGTGTGTCATCCAGGTGAGTGTGTCGTCCAGGTGAGTGTGCCGTCCAGGTGAGTGTGCCGTCCAGGTGAGTGTCGTCCAGGTGAGTGTCGTCCAGGTGAATGTCGTCCAGGTGAGCGTCGTCCAGGTGAGTGTCGTCCAAGTGAGTGCGATCATGGTGAGTGTCGTCCAGGTGAGTGTCGTCCAGGCGAGTGTCGTCCAGGTGAGTGTCGTCCAGTGAGTGTCGTCCAGGTAAGTGTTGTCCAAGTGAGAGTGTCGTGCAGATGAGTGTTGCCCAGGAGAGTGTCGTCCAGGTGAGTGTGTCGTCCAGGTGAGTGTCGTCCAAGTGAGTGTGTCGCCCAGGTGAGTGTCGTCTAGGTGAATGTGTCATCCATGTGAGTGTCGTCCAGTGAGAGTCGTCCAGGTGAGTGTCGTCCAGGCGAGAGTATCGTCCAGTTGAGATTGTCGTCCAGGTGAGTGTCGTCCAGGTGAGTGTCGTCCAGATGATTGTCGTCCAGGTGAGTGTCGTTCAGGCGAGTGTCGTCCAGGTGAGTGTCGTCCAGGTGAGTTGTCCGGTGGCCAGGGTGAGTGTCGTCCAGTTGGAGTGCCGTACAGGTGGTAGTGTCGCCAGAGGGGTGGTCAGGGAGTGTGTCGTCCAGGTTAGTGTTGTCCAGGTGAGAGTGTCGTCCAGTTGAGAATGTCATGCAGGTGAGTGTCGTCCAGGTGAGAGTGTCATGCAGGTGAGTGTCGTCCACTTGAGAGTGTTGTCCAGGTGAGATTGTCGTCCAGGTAAATGTGTCGTCAAGGTGAGTGTCGTCCAGGTGAGTGTCGTCCAGGTAAGTGTCGTCCACGTGACAGTGTTGTCCAGGTGACTGAGTCGTCCAGTTGAGTGTCGTCCAAGTGAGAGTGCCGTCCAGGTGAGAGTGCCGTCCAGGTGAGAGTGTCGTCCAAGTGAGAGTGTCGTCTAAGAGAGTGTCATTCAGGTGAGAGTGTCATGCAGTTGAGAGTGCCATGCAGGTGAGAGTGTCGTCCAGGTGAAAGCGTTGTGCAGGTGAGAGTGTCGTCCAGGTGAGAGTGTCGTCCAAGTGAGAGTGTCGTCTAAGAGAGTGTCATTCAGGTGAGAGTGTCATGCAGTTGAGAGTGCCATGCAGGTGAGAGTGTCGTGCAGTTGAGAGTGTCATGCAGGTGAGAGTGTCGTCCAGGTGAAAGCGTTGTGCAGGTGAGAGTGTCGTCCCGGTGAATGTGTCGTCCAGGTGAGAGCGTTGTGCAGGTGAGAGTGTCATGCGGGTGAATGTGTCGTCCAGGTGAGTGTGTCATCCAGTTGACAGTGTCGTCCAAGTGAGAGTGCACTTACCTACTAGCAAGAGAGTGACACCACTCACAATGAGAAGGAACCTGCATGCAGTGACATTCTTCCGTCCAAACATATATCTGTTGATTGATGGATAAATATATAGAATTAATCTTAAGTGATATGAACACTGTACTATAGCCTGTTTTAAATCATTACTCTTCACTCACTAATATTCCAACAAACACCAATGGAACTAAAGTAGTGAAATTGCTAAATGAGCATGATAATGTTCGAATTGTGGGCACTACTGAGCCTACTCACATATATGGTGGCATACTAGATCTGTGTCTTGGATTTAATACATCATATATGATGCATGACTCTGTCATAGTTGATGATCTTCCATCTGATCACTTCCCAAGACTAACAACTGTCAATCTTGATCACATCTCCAGCAATCAAGGAGCTAAATACAGGAGGAAACTTATTCTCAAACCAGAACACAGAGACAACTTTATTAACCACTTGGATCAATGGTATAAGAATTACGAGCCAATTGGCACACAAAAATTTAATGATGATTTAGTTACCACTATTGAGAGTGTCCTCACAGATCAAGTGGGCAGGAATAGGAAACAAAGACCCTCCACTATAAATAACAATAAAAACCAATGTAAATACTATAATGATCCACAGCTATGCAATCTAGCACATGCAGCTAGGAGGGTTGGTAAAGCATACCATGAATGTAGAACCCAAGACCTGCTCATAACGTTCCAAGCTGCACTAACAAATGCAAGGAAAAGAAAGCAAGAACTTAGGCAACAGGAATGGGAACAGTGGATTAAATCCACTAACAAATAGGTCCACCCCTTTAAGTTTGGCTTGGAAAGGTATAAATAAAATAACCAGGAAAAAGACCGGCAATGTTGCTCATCCCTTTCCTCTTGAAAAAGCAAATGACCTCATAAATGACTGGTCCAAAACATCCAGGCATGAAAACCTTCCATCTCATATTAGAAAAAATTTAGAGAGTACTTCTGAAGAAATGTTGAAACTGATTAATTTTATGAGCCAAAATATTGATGAGAGTGATTGCCTCTTTACCGAGTATGAATTAGATAATACATTAACTAAAGGTCGATCAACTGCTCCTGGAGAGGATGGTACAACCTATGATATTCTCAGAACTCTAACCCTTTGATAACCCTTTGTTGGCACTGTATAATCTCAGTTACATTGAGGGTGTTCTTCCTACTTCTTGGACCAATAGTCTCATTGTGCCTATCCCTAAGCCCCAACAGCCTGATACATTTAGACCGATCTCCTTAACTAGTTGTCTTTGTAAAACTTTTGAAAGAATGATACTTAACAGACTGTACTACAGAATCAGACACCAACTTTCCGCCCTACCTCTATGGGTTCATGAAAGGTAAAAGTGTGCAGAACTGTATTTCCACCTTTCTCACTGCACTAGCTTTACCACTTTTCTTGATCTAAAATCTGCATTTGATATTGCGAATAGAACCGTTATACTACATGAACTAGCCAAAATGAATATTGGTGGTAGCTTACTCTGCTGGATAATAGGATACCTGTCAAATAGAGTATCCTCTGTCCTTTACCAAGGCTTCAGGAGTGAGTCTAAAGAAATGTCTTTAGGTACACCGCAGGGAGGAGTTCTTAGTCCCATGCTATTTAATATTCTGATTAATGCTCTCCTAAATGCTCTACCTGCCTCACCTAAACATATAGCTATAAGCTATGCTGATGATATCATGATCCATACAACAGGGCATAAGAAGATGAGTACCATTCTTAATGAAGTTCAAGCAATTTGTAATCGACTAGGGCTCATAATATCTTCCTCTAAAACAAAGATATTAACAAGCAAACGACATCCCCCACCCATCTATTTGCAGGGTGAAATCATTAGCTACGTTAAAACTTACAGATATCTTGGTGTAGACGTACCCTTTAACAAATCCACTATACCACAAGTAAATAAGAAATGCAAAGCTAGGCTAAATGCTCTCAAAGCTGTTGCTGGCTACAACCCCAACTATGGTGCTAATGTGAGAATCGTGAGAATGATGTACATAACCTATGTTAGGTCCTTAATTGATTATGCTGCTCCCATGTTGATATTAGCTAGAGAAAGTTCTCTCCGACCCTTGGAGTTAATGCAAAATGAAGCTCTCAGGATTATTCTTGGCTGTCCCAGATCTACAAAAGTTCTTAACATGAGGAAGGAGCTTGGTATTTCTAGTATCAGTGATAGGATTGTTGAGATTAACACTGTACTCGGTATTAGAATGTTGAGAAACAAACCACTGTCACAATGAATCTTACCAAGTGTCTAGAGGTAAATACACACAGATCTAAATGGATTGTGAAAATGTGCAATTGCATTAAGTTTTATAACCTGCATGAACTGTATCACTGTAGGCAACAAGAGCATTTCACCCCTCCGTGGAAGATGTGTTCATTTAATATCACATACCTGCAAGTCCCTCCCAAGAAGCTCATTGCTAGTAATCCCTTCCTTAAATAACTTGTTAGAGCAACTGCTCAAGAAGAAATTTCTCACCTAGCTGGTAGTAATAAGTTATCACAAGTTATATACACTGATGGATCTAAACAGGAGTCTTCTGGCAGGGCTGCATTTTCTCTTGTTGCCACCTCCCTAGTTAAGAACGATAATAAATTTGTTGAGTTAGGCATAAGAATTAACAACTGGGCGTTTACACTTCAAACTGAATTGTTTGCAATCCTAATGGCACTAAAGCTAACCTATGACACTGAGCTTGACTCTATCATCATTACTGATTCTATGTCATCATTGAAGGCTCTTGACTCATATAATGACTCCAACAACATGCTCATTGGAGAAGCCAGGTATAGATACTCAAAAATTAGGGACAAAGGAATTAATGTACAATTGCTATGGATCCCATCACACATTGGATTACTCCTTCATGATAAAGTTGATATGTTAGCCAAGAAGAGTACTCAGAAGGAGAATGTAGAATACAACTTTGGTATAACTGTGTCTAGCATTAGGAATAATATTAGGAGAGAAGTAAATAATAAAAATTATTGTTATAGGAATGCAGTTAGAAGCCTGAGTAGATCTATAACCCACTATGATAACATGAACATAAATAAGTATGTTTATGGAGCAACGTGCAATGTGAACAGACTGACTGATATTGTAGTGGCCAGGCTTAATGTGATTTTAGTCCACAGATTGATCTCATTTGGGCATACCTAAAAATGCTTCCCTGATTTAATACTGCTTTTAGATAGTTCTTGGATATCTGCACAAGGGGCATGACACCAATTTTCAGAAAAATGGCAAGTAATCCATGTGGAAGCACATTTGTTTGATTTACTGCAGACTACAAAGAGCTTCATAATGTGATCTGAATGGTTGATCTACTGTAATTCAACTAGTAACCCCTTGAATATTCTATTAATAACCTCCTTAACCCTTTCAGGGTCCGTCCCGTAGATCTACGGCTTTACGTTCAGGGTCCAAACCGTAGATCTACGCCATGAGCTCAGCTCACTCTGATAAACTGTGAGTGGTACATTTGGGCCTAGATATGAGAGAATACATCTATGTGGTATGTGTGCACCACATAAAACAGATCCTGCAGCACACTGTGTATAATGAGAGAAAAAAAATGAAATCATGATTTTTCGATTAAAACAGCAACTTTGCAGTTTTTTTTCGTATGTTTTTTATAGTTGTATTTGCGATTTCTTGGTCTCATTTGATAGAATGGAAGACATATTACAGAAATAGAGATGATTTTGATTGGTTTTTAGCACTGGAAATGGCTTGAAACTGAGCTCAAAGTAGCAGAAATGTTAAATTTTTGCCGATATTCAAGAGTAAACAAACGACCTCACACGTCTAATACACGTCAGCTGGTGGGTCTAATATACATTCACAAATATGGTGATGATATTTATACAATTATTACAGTATTGCATAACAGTAAATCTTCTATTTTTCGGTTTTGAAATAAAAATTCATTATGTGAATAAAAAATCAAAATGGAATTTATTTGTAAAGCCTCAAAACATAACTAATGAACAGAGGAAATGTTAGTTTAGTGCCAGGAATGCCTACATTGTTCATTCTGGACCCTATTTTGAAATTGGAATATTTTGAACTTTGTGTTAAATTGGCCAAATTAACAATTTCCGATCACTTTATTTTGTAGTTGAAACAGTTGACTTGGCGATTTCTTGTGCTCAATCGATAGAATAGAAGTAATACTAGTGAAATAGCTAAGAATTTGGTTGATTGGAATAATGTAATTGGCCTAAAATTGGAGTCAAAGTCGGCAAAATCGCCGATTCGTAAATATCGCTGACACATCAAAATTCGCGAGAGCATAATTTCGTCAATTTTCCACCAAATTTCGTACTTTTTGTTTTATTACCTTCACAAAAAGATTCTCTATGATTTCATAAGAAAAATAACAAATTTTTTTTTTTTAAAATTCTTGGACAGGGGTGCGTGACTCCAGATTTGGGCCGGGACCCTAAAAGGGGTTTAAAAGTGAAGATTGGCTTTTGTATTTCTATTTAAAACGTACTTGAATATTAGGACAGTTTACCAGTGTATGTTTTGTTTTAATTTTTAAAGTTGTGTTGAAAGGGCACCTAAAACCCTGTCTGTTTACAGTTGCTTTATTGCCCAACGAACCCGTTTAAAAACCGGTCAAGGGTTCGGCCGTCAAGGGTTCGGAACCAGTGGGGATTGATCAGGGGGTCATTTTTTTAAAAACTTTTTCGGTCGGTGATTTGGGGGTAACCATGAGGAACTACTGGAAATTATTTTAATGAAAATGTTTATTAGACTGATACAAAAGTATAAATTGCGTGTTGAAGAACCGGTGATTGCTGGCATTCCAAAATATGAATGGTCGAGGCCTCAACTGTATACATCTGTATTTTAAGAATGGAGAAAAAACTAATGAAAGCACCCACTCCCAAGTACCCTTATATTTTGGTTTGTTGCTCCACAACACTTATTTTCTATTCACGGTACACTTAAATTTTATCGGGTAAAATGCAGGGCCCGGAAGATTTTAAAACAGCGACCGTGTGGAAAATTTTGGGGACTTCTGGCACCTGCCCCTTTTGCCCATCACTTCAGTTACAATTACACCCGTTTTAAATGACCAGCATTTATTATCTTATACTAGGGGCCACTTTTAATATACACATAACACTAAAAACATTCCCTGACAGAAAGCTGCCCCGCAGAAAGCAGCAAAAAGGCTGCCCCCATATCTTGCCGCCCCCTGGGCCAAATCCGAACTCCAGTAAAGGGGGGGCCCCAAATTGCAAGTTTTATACCACTGCAACAAAAAATGAAAGGGAACCTTTTAGGACATAAAAAACTGTTTGGTTTGAGGGACATAAAAAGGACTAAATATAAAAAAAAAACAAAAGAGGGCCCCGGAAATTCAAGTACCAGACCTGCTGGCAGACTTTGCCCCGGGACATGAGACTTTTCCACACAATGAAAAAAACAAACCTCAGAAATCAATTTCACCAGTGTTCAACAGGAAAAAAAAACATGGCAAAAACCTGAATCAAAAAAAACCCAAAAGGGGAAATGACGGGGTCTTTGGAAATTTTTTTTTTCCCCTCATGCCAACAGGGAAAAATTGAGCATTTAAAAACAGGGAAAACCAGCACCCCTAAACCCCAGCTACTCCCGGGGACGTCCCAACTAGGAAGTGAAATTTTTTTTTTTATAATAAACGTTCATCTGTACTGACAGTACATCAAATCGTACCACCTTTCATTTCCCTGTCCCAGTGCTAACAA